TGAGTGGTGTCCAAGTCATCAACATACATATGTTTTTTGATAAGTTCAATGATGTTACTATGAAATTGGAAATACTTGATATCTTACTGTCAAATAATGTGGTATTCCACATGTTCTATTCTACACTTCTCAATATATGATGAAACTATGTGCAAAAGAAAATTGAGGAGGTACAATAGTTCAAATTGAAGTCTGTTATATTGGATGTTTATTCAACCATAGAGAAAATACACTCTTGATTGAATTCTCTCAAAGAGGCTAAGAAGCCCACCCAGGCAGCTAATTCTTCAGCCAATGTGGCTCAGACTGAAAACACAACTGTGGGTTTCAATAATAGCAGCAACATCTAAAATAATTCAGCCTGTGAGGGCTGACCTAGAGGACACAGAGACTATTGAATGAGTGGACATTCAAAGTCTGACTTCTCAATCTGCTCAGAATGCAAGCATCATCATGATGAGCTCTGCTGGGCAGCCAATCTGAATAGTGTCTCTGAAGAATGAAGGACCATCAACACAGTGAGAATAGAGAAATATAATAATAAAAAGAGTAGTGAGGGCAAGAAGACATCATCAACTGTAAATGATAGCTCTGAGATATTTCAAATGATGAATCTAGTGCAGGTCATTGAGGTACTTGTGTACTCTGCTGAATCAATCACCAACTCACTCATCATATAAAATAGTAAGGCTGGATATCATATTGTGTGTGATTGATTGTGATTTTCTCAAATAACAGAGGTTAGCAGCCCTATGATTTAAGTGGTCAATAAGGCTATTTTGAAGATTCAAGAAATCAGAGTCACCTCCATCCTAGTCAGGGAAAGATTAATTAAATTTGATCATATCTATTTGATGTCAGGCTTATTCATCAATTTCATATCTGCTGGTCTATTGGAGTGTCAGAGCTATATTTACCATAGTCTGCAGATGAATGTCAGAAATTACTTTGAGATAATAGCATTTACAGAAAATGACATCTTCTATGTGAATTTAAATTTCAATAATATATATGTTCTATCTGACATCTTCTCTATGTTCAGAGGTATTATGAATGATCTGAAGCTTGAATCACTGGCATACTTGATGATTCTGAAGTCCAGGGTGATTTCAACAGATTATGATCTGAATGCTGTATCACTGAGTCTTTTCAACTGCAATGATATAGAGCAGCTAATTAACCTGAAGGATTCAGATACTGATACCTTCATTTTGTCCTCATCAACCTAACTACTCACTATTATGCTGAAGCAGCTACTGATTGATGAGTGACACTAATGATTGAGCCATATTGATGAGAAGAATCTAATTAAAATATTGTGGGAGCTCTGTTTTGAAATTGTCATTATCAGCTCAAAAAAGCTCTCATTCTGCATCACATGTATTAAAGTCAAGCATAAATGTGCAAGTTATAAAAATGCTCCCCTATACCATGCCACCTGCAAAGGTCTTAAAATCTAGGTGGACCTATTCAGAGATGGAGAAACACTTGATAATAAAGAAGATATACCATCCTATGTGGGAAAGAAGCTCATGATGATGATCACTGACAATGCCACATGAATGTAGTGGACCTTCCTATTGGAGTGCTGCAATGAGACTCTAAAATATATACAGACCTTCAATCAATTTATGAAGAATCTGCTCAATTGTGATATCATGATTATCTACTCTGATCACAGTGAGTTGAATTCAAACATGGCAGTCATCTATATGATGAGTGAGAGTATTAAATGAGAATCAATTCCACCTCATACTCTGCAGCAAGATGGTATGTTCAAACATTCTATTGATCTGATTATTGAAAAAGCCTGAACATTATTAATAGATTCCTCCGCCCCCCTTTAGATGTGAAGTGAGGTGGTAATTGCAGTGATCAAAATGCTTAACATTATGTCAATGTCAGTCAAGCTCTATAATGGTGTAGAGGATTCAGATCTGAAGCCAATTACCTCATATGAAGCTTGGCTCAGGGCCCTGCCCTCCACACACAGAATTCACTAATGGGAGTGCAAGGCTTATTTAAAAATAGTGCTCAAGCTGAATATGAAGATAGCCTCACAATCACAGAAGCTTATATTTACAGACTATGATGGTTTTACTAATTATAGATTGGTCAATCCTTCTAACAGTCACCTTTACACATCAAAAAACATGATATTTCAAGAAGATCTTCATTTGATTGATTCTCTAGTCTCATCTGAGCAAGGTGTCAAGAACCTGCCTTTCACTGCCTGTGTGGCTGCAGTTGTGATCCTCTTCACCCAATATGATTTATCAACAGATGATTTCATGGTGAATGAGAAGTCTCTATCTGCCCCTCTAGTATTTCTACATTCTACAAATAATTAATAGATAGACTATGAGATTACTGTATGAATTTCAACATTTTTGATACAGAATACTACTGCCCTTCCAGGGTTCACTTTAGAGATGGAGAATCCTTCAATGCTCATTGAGAATATTACTTCAGTGAGAGAGGCCTCAGTGAGAGATTTCACTGACAATTCAACTGATGTCTCTGCATACCCTGAGATTGCCAGCTTGTCAGTTCTGAAGAATCTCACCTGAGCTCAGGTGTCTGCAGATTGATAATATTACTTTCATGTCTTCATTAAGAAGATTAATTACCTCAAGCAAATTGGTGCATGGTGGCTAGTTGAAAGGACCTCAGATATGGTGATTCTATATAGCCAATGGATGTTTGATAAAAAGATTAATAATGTGGGTAGAATTGATCAATATAAGGCCTGCTGAGTAGTCTGTGACAATTATCAAGAAAAGAATGTCAACTATTCAAAGACATTCACATCAGTTGTATCAGTCTCCACCTTTTGAGCACTTATGATGATCTCAGTATTCTGAGGATGACATATTCTGCAGATTGACATGATTACAGCATTCTTAAATGCCTGACTTCTCATCAATGAATATATACATATGCATCAATCCACTAGGTTCCGTGAGAGATGTGATGATCTGGTATGTGAATTGATGCAGAGACTATATGATCTGAAGCAAGTAGCACTATTATGATATGAGAAGCTGTGAAAAATACTATTGAAAACAGACTTTCATGTCAGTTCTCATGACACTAGTTTTTTCATAAATGACATCTGCAAGGTCTATATAATCATCTACATAGATGATGTTCATCTATACAGCTCAAATATATTAGATATTGAGTGGACAAAAGCCCAGATCACCACTAATTATGAGATCAAAAATGTGAATGAATCAAACCAGTATTTGAAAATGAAGATTGATTGAGATGTCAAATCTTTATCACTATCCCAGCCACTATTCATAAAGAATCTACTTGAGGAATTCTCAATAGATGACTACCACCCAACATCTTCTCCTATGGAGGAGAATGTTGATTTCATGAGTGATAATGAAGAATCAATTGCTTATACAGCAGAATTTACATTATGTTTTTATCAATCAGAGATTGACTCTCTGCAATATCTCACTGCCAACACATACTCTGATATAAGCTTTGCTGCTGACTTTCTGAGGAGATTCAACTCTTACTCTACCTTGAAGAATTGAGCAGTATTTAAGTGAATTCTTAAATATCTACAAAGCACACCTGACATAAGTGTGTCCTACTGAAAAGACATGAATATAGAATCTATAGTGTTCACTGATGCTGATTGAGTGGGCCATGATCTGGGTTCTCACTTTATCACTGAATATGTTATTTATATGACAGAGGGTTCTGTTGCTTAGTGAAGCAGCAAGCAGACAAGCATTTCAAAATCATCTACTGAGACTGAATATATCACATCCTCAGAGGTCATCTATGAGCTTGTCTGCCTCTGGGAATTGCTGAAGGATGCCAGCTTTGTGCTGTCCTGGCTCAATAATCTTGATGATAATGATAGTCTGATCAAATCACTGATCAATAAACTGATGTATATGATTTAAGCAGATAATAAATCAGTGATTGAACTGATTAAAAGTAAGACTATTTCACACCAATCTAAGTATATAGAGATTCACTTTCATACTTTTTAGGATCTCATCTGCAAGAATGAGATCTTGATTGATTATGTTCTATCCACTGAGAACACAGCAGACAGGCTGACCAAGCTGCTTGAGATGACTAGATATACTCTATGACAGAAGATATTAGAAGATGCAGTAAGTGAGCAGAAATGATTATATAAAGAAAATGACTGATTTTTCAACAATATGGGTTTTCCAGTCAAATTATATACTGATATCTAGCTACAGACTATTTTTTGTATGTAATCTCATATACAGTTACATCAGTGAGTGGAGGTGTCAGATCTATCCATCTTCTTATGTAATTCACACTGTATATAACTTCCATGTAGCTAGTGATCACTTCATAATCAATCAAGCAATCTATCCTTGACATATAAAACTTAATAGAAGATTTTGATCAAATTATCAAGATTTATAAATATGATATGATCAATACTATTATTATAAAAAAGCAATATCAGAATATATTCAATGCAAATGAGATAGAGAAGCAAAAGTGAAATAGATCTAGACATCAAATTCAACATGCAGGGAATCTAACTAGAAATGAAGCTCAGAATCTTATTGTTTCCTCTGCTGCATCTGTTAAACAAACAGTTATTTAATTGTATGAGTCATTACCTTCTAAGTCTATATTATGTGTATGAGCTTCACCACACTGCAACAATTGCAATACTCTTCAGACATACAAGATTAAGATGTTCTCAACTGCATGTAATTTAATTTAATTTAATTGAGTGTTGTGGTGTAGAGATATTTGAATTAAAATCTAATTAGTTGGGATGTGCTGATTTTGGTGGTCCGCTCGGTGTGGAATTACGTTAGTTAGTTAGCTGACTAACCGCTCAATTCGCCAAAACAACACGCACGCGCCCTGACCGCTTGTTGCTCGCATCCACAACATGCGCAGCTCGCTTCGAGGAGCCCACTGTGACGATCGGGAACTGCCGCTGTGCTATGCCACCTAGATAGACATTTACTTCCGCCATGGACCGGTCTCATCGAGACCACCCCGGCAGCCCGTCTCCTGCGGCCAGGCTCCAAGGGAGGCTGTCAACCAAACACGCGGACAAACTGGCAAGCTCCTTTACTCGCCTCCCAATTGCAACAGGTTCTGTTATAGTCGGTCCATCCTCGTCGCCTTCTCCTTCGCCGTACCAGTCACCTTCTCGTTTCGTTGACAGGAACACTCCCTTTTCACGCCATAACTCGCCGTCGAGAGCTCTAGCCAACCACCCGTCCGTTCCCCGAAGGAACCCCAGTACCAGTTCGTTGAGAGAGGAAAGAAGAGGGTCTACCCCGTCTCTCCAGAAAAGATCATCGGTCAGCTCACTACGATCTGTTCAAAACTATAGTAGAAATGGCGTTACCCCCCAGCGACCCAGCCTATCGCGACCCGCCTCTTCAAACTTCCTTTCTACCACCTCTTCTAGCATGCGCCCCAAGTCCCCCTTAGCGGGCCCTGATTCCCCGATCCAGCCTTTGCTGCCAACCGCCTCCTCCATCGCCAATAGCCATTTCAAGAAGGAGTTGGCTTTGCATCAATCCGCGGACCTGCACTCCAAAACTCTCGTCATTGTACAAGATGCCTGTTACGGACACAGGTTTTCGCGCCCAAGAACCTCCAAGGCCAGCTTGGAACAAATTGTCGAACGCCCAGAGCGCTTACTTGCTAGTGTTCTGGGTGTATCAACCGCATATATTCGCATGGGAAGGAGGTATGATGACGGCCAGTTTGCACCACATCCGGACCTAGATCTTCGGTCGCTTCCCATCCCACCCTTTCAAGTCCGGAAGACGACGCGCACTATGCCAATTAATTCCCCTGCGGTTACACATGTCCATGGAATAAAATGGATGGATGAACTACGAGTTATGTGTTATGCCGCCGAATCTCGTCTTGCATTGAATGGAAAGGAGTTGGTTCGCCCCAGCAGTTCAGGGAAGGACAATAATAGCTCATCAAGCCTACCAAAACTCCACGAGGGCGACCTGTATTTGTGTTCGGAGTCCCTGAATGCTTTTGAAGGTGCGTTGGGAGGAGTCTGCGAAGCGGTGGATGTCGTGTTTGGGCCGACGTCGACCACTCGCGCTTTCGTGAGCATTCGACCTCCCGGTCACCATTGTTCAGCAGACTATCCATCCGGGTTTTGCTGGCTTAATAATGTTCATGTTGGTATCACTCATGCTGCAATGTCTCATGGTCTCACTCATGCTGCTATCATTGATTTTGATCTACACCACGGAGACGGATCGCAGGAGATTACTTGGGAGCAGAATCGGAAGGCAAAAACCGCTTCGAAAAACGCCCCTCTGCACAAGAAGATGACCATCGGCTATTACAGTCTGCATGACATTAACTCATATCCTTGTGAAAACGGCGACCTGAACAAAGTTCGTAATGCTAGCCTTTGTATCGACAACGCCCATGGACAGTCTATCTGGAACGTCCATCTAGAACCCTGGAAAAGTTCGGCTAGCTTTTGGGAGCTGTATAATAAAAAATATACAATTCTTCTTGAAAAGGCTCGAAAGTTTCTTCGTTCCCATACCCTCCGTTTGTTAAATTCACAAAATCCGGCACCACCCAAGGCAGCAATATTCATATCAGCAGGTTTCGATGCTAGTGAGTGGGAAGGAGTTGGTATGCAACGACACAAGGTCAACGTACCCACGGACTTTTATGCCAAGTTTACTTCAGATATTGTACGGATGTCAGAAGAGGAAGGCCTAGGTGTTGATGGGAGGGTTATTAGTGTTCTGGAAGGGGGATATTCTGATAGAGCTCTAATCAGTGGTGTACTCAGTCATCTCTCAGGGCTTGCGGACAGCCAGACCAGCATTTATGAAAATGGAGACAACCGCCTCGCTGCTGAGATGTTGGGCCGCCTTGGTTTGAATGATGTTCCCGAGGCGGTTTCAGAGGAAAGTTCTTCATTTGATACTGAATGGTGGAAACTTCCTCTGCTAGAAGAAATAGAACGTCTTGCAAACCCACTACCTCCAGCCCCAACTCGCAAATCTCATGAAAAAAGCCCTCCTACATATTGTTCTCCCACGCAGGCGTCAGCCGCCAAAATCGTCATCCCCTCGCGAGACCGCAGATCAATTTCATCTCAGCTAAGTGCTGGTGACGGAGGCTACATGCGCCCACCCCTCCCGGCCATTGACTGGGCAACGGCGGCGTATGAGATGTCGAAAATCCTCATTCCTACGGACCGCCAGACAGTGAGCTTCCAGCACGCGGAGCTGAAGGCTGAGGGTGCTCGTACACGACCAGACCGGCACTCAACTTCGAATATTTCAGAATTACAGCCTGTTGATGACCGGAGATCTATGCAGTTGAGGGAGAGAAAACTAAAGTCACCCTCGCCGGAGCTACAAATAGCCGGACGGTCTTCTCAAACTTCGCGACGAACCACCATTGCATCAATCAGCGACCTACCCGAAACATCTACCGTCACATCTTCTGCAAGTAGCAACCAAAATTTGAACCATGTTTATTCTCGGAATTCACGACGACTAAGTGTAGCCTCGACCGTGGCATCCACTATCGGTGGAAACCCTAGTAAGGCCAGCGTGGAAGGAACTTCACCAACATCTTCAAATGGGGATTGCGACCGCACGCTAAATTCACGCCCAGGAACTTCAAACGGGAAGCCTGCGGATTTGGTAACAGTTAAAAAATCCCGAGTTACGGGTGTCCGGTCTAGTCCAAGAAAAGCGGCACCACCCCCACAAGCACGAGCGATCGGTGGAAGCCCAATTCCACCCTTCGATTCATCTTCTATCAATACGGATACAGCAGAGCGTGAACTAACTAAACTTTCTGTCGGAATTAAGAAATTAAGCATTAAACTTAAAGTTCCCAGCCCGGAAGAGCATGCTGCCAGAGAAGAGGAGCGACTGAAAGTTAGCGCAAACAAATTCACCTCCAGAAAGACTAGAAAGACCCAGGCACCCAAAAAGTCTGGATCAAGAAGCACAAAATCCAGCGCGAAGACACTACGTCCTGGCACCGCGTTGGGCGAGGCTTCTGCCCCTCCTGTTGTGCTATCTGCTGCTTCGGGTCCTGTTAAGCAAGAAGCGGGTTCCCCTACGGCACTTGCAAACCCTGACATTGAAATGATCCATACCCCAGATTTAACGACTACACCATTCTCCGCCAAGTTGAATAACGGGGCAGCTATATCTGGATGGCCATCCGAATCAGGGATGCAGCAGACTCAACAGAAGCCTTCAAAGCGCTTGTCGCCTGATGGGACCTTCACACCTCATATTTCCCATTCTCTCACTCCTCGATCCCTCGGAAATTCGCAGCAACCCCAAATCACCGTCAAGCCACCGCCTACCTCGAGGGGCTATAAGCCTGCTACCCAACAGCAACAGCAACAGCAACAGCAACAAACTACTAATATACAACTTCCTGTTTTCACGTCCACTTCCGCTATACCTTTCGCTACTTCATCCGCCGTTTCTAGCGCGGCCCCTCCAGGCCCACGCCAGGAAAATCGTCGAGAGCAGTGAGAATTGCCAGCACCACCAATGTCTATGGTTGGGGTTTATGCTGTGTCATTTTTCAATACCCTTGTCTCGTTTGTGGCAATCAACTTGAACTTTTTTTCTTCCATTATATCCCTTCCCCCCTCCTATAACTCCTTGTATGCTTCATTTGCTTACTTCATTTCTTCAATACCCTCTGTGCTGTATATCTTAGTTGTATTATCTTCCCCCCATCTGCTTCCATACTACACCTCTTCTTATTCCTCTTTAATAACCAACTCGGCCTTCTCAGTTTCCTTTTATCCCCCTTGGTTATTCCCATTACCATCCCTGCCTCTTCGCAAGGGCTTGTGTTGTCTTCCTCTACTGTTTTTATTCACTGTGTTCCATATCCCACCTCCGCTGCATCACTATGCTAGTAAAACTGCTGTTGTTATTCATGTATACCCCTGTAAACACAGGCGTTGTGTTCTAATGATCATCTCACTTTATTCGTTTATATCCCCAACATGTTTAACACAAGGAACGAAACAGGGTTATTCTCGCTTTCCTCAGCGGGCGCGTTGCGAAAAAGGCTTTGTGATCGGAACGATTACTTTCTGTCCGGGACCATGTGGATGTACAACAGTTGCTCTTCATTTTTTATTCTCATGCGGCTCGCCGGGGGATGCGAACGGTGTTAATTGCTCGCTGATCTTTGCTATTCAGCGCGAGGATCAAATATACTGCGGTCTTTTGAGTTTTAAATATTCTCAGCAAGTTTTTTATCTAATATCCCTTCCTGTTCAAACTTAAGTGGTCAGAGTGTCTTATTCCTGATGACTATTCAACAAATTTTCACAAAACACAAGCGGGATTCACTCGTTTTTCATACTTGAGAGCACTCACCACGAACGTTAATATGTACTTGTCCTAAATATGCTATAGAATGTGTTCTATATTCTCATGTGCCGGCGATCATTACCCATAAGAATTGAACGCTTTGGCAGGGAGATTGAGGACTGGGTTTCCTTATCGCGGTCATACATATCGGACCAAATGCTATGAGAAAATCCGACAAGGCTTATAAGGAGTGGAAGGACGAATGGAGTGTCAGAGTATTGAACATCAGCTAGGCGATCACATACATGGCCTAAGATCTGGATGAATGTACACAATGTCCACCAGTCCCGGTACCAAAGAGAAGGAGCCTGAAAGAAGTGACTATTGTCCTGAGGAGCCAAAGTCGTCATCTTCTGAGTGAAGCCCTGGCTGATGTGGCTGGGATGTCGAATAGGAATGTGGACGGCCAAGTTCACAAGAAGGCCGTGACACAGAAGGAGGAGTAACATGAGAGGTGATTCAGGTTTGAACCCGTGCTGAGGGCTATCAATGCCATTGTATTTACTCGATAAAATAGATAGCATCCGGTTCAAATATTTCTAGAATGTGATGTGCCGCCTGTTTCGACTCTCTAACAAAACAATATTGGGGAAGCATAACAACTATCAGTTGCTAGGGGGAATAACATACCAATTGTGAGTCTTCAGGAGAGATGGGACGTGACAGAGTGAGGGATTATGTGGGCTACTTCTAGGTATTCAAATTCATCGCCTGTTTAAATCCATCAAAGGTTTCCCGTCATCATCTACTTGGCACGTATTGTAGGAGGATAACGTTATGTGTTGTATTAAGGTGTGTGTGTGTGTGTGTGTGTGTGTGTGTGTGTGTGTGTGTTTTTATTTAACGCCTGGTTAGTCCATGTGCCTTATGGAAACATGATCTAGTAGAGTCTGTGTTGAACTATAGAGTGAGTAGAGCTGTGCCTGTAGGTGAATACCTATCTAGTAGCTATCTTACAAATGAGGCAAAAGGGTTGCATATTGCTGCACTGGTAGAGCCTATGAATCAGTTGTCATAGAGCAGAGGTTTTAAGAGATTTTAGATTTGTGAAAGAGAGGTAGAAGAGACAGATATAGAGAAAGACAAGAAAGAAAAGACAGAAAAGAAAAGAGAGAAAGAAGAAGAAGATGATGAGAAGAACAGAAGCAAGACAGAGAAGAAGATGATCTGTAAGATCTGATCTGAAGATGCATGACAGCACATTGAACAGATATTCTGATAGAAGACTGTTTCTCTTAGTCAGTTATTGAATTCTAGAGTTTCATGTGAGATTGTCAATATCTCATGAAGATTGTATATAGACTGACATCACTTTGCTGCTTTTCTTGCAAGAGTACAATAGTAAAAATATTCAGAGATTTTACTATGATCACACTGACAGTAGCACTCTGCATCTTCATGCTTAAGAAGACTATGATAGACTGTAAAGTTTTCATGATCTGATTGAGCAGCATAGAGCTTTTCTAATGTGAAGTGTGAAAGTTTTATCTCTGTTGAGACTCTCTTTAGTGAGATCTTCAGCTTCATATAGCATTTGAGCTGATTTTTGACTCAGTAGTTCTCAAAGATCTGTGTGATTTGTTTTATAGTGTGTCACTTTATATAAGCTAAAATGTCTATACTGTCAGATTGAGATGTTATGCTTGCACTTGCTGTCTGTGCTACAGCTGCTTTGACTTCAAGATCTGTCTTTTCATTATCAGTCACATCTGTCTAATCTGAGACTCATCTAATGATCACTCTGCTCTGAGTGATCAATGAGAGTCTATTTTTACTCTGTCAGATCTTTATGACTTTCAGAAACTGCATGAAGACCTGCTAGCTAGAGATGTTTGATATAGATTCAAAAGCTCATGCTATCTTCAAATTGTCTAGACAAATGTAGATATTACTGACAAACTTCATCTGAAAAGAGATGATGACTTTCTTTAGATTCTGCAGAGCTGTCATTGTCTCTGTGTCAAAGATCTCTGCTTTATTCATTGATAGATTTTCTGTGAAGATTAGATAGTGTTCACTATTCTAGCATATAGTTCATTCTGCACTAGTCATGCACTGAGAGCATTCTATCTGTGAATTATCAGTAAAGATCATCAGATTCAGAGAATTGCATTATTGTAGTCAGCTCTTAAAGTCTTGTACTGTCTGTTTCTTTATGCAGTCTGTCTCATACTCAATCTGCAGATCTTTTTTTCTGAGAAATCTCATTTAAAAAGATGTGAGTAGAGAATCATGTGCTTCTATCTCATCAGCATGACTGGACACTCTAGACAGACATGTGATATAGAACTTGATGATAGCTACTTTATTAGAGTGTCTCACTAGTGAGTGTCTCTTGTCAAGCTTTTTGATTTTTACTGTAAATGCAGCACACTGATTGTCTAGTGTCTCTTTCATTGACATGATTTCTAGCTCACAATGTAGTGCTGAAATGAGTATGATCTTGTAAACTGACAGTGCTTCTCACAAAGCATCTCTAAGAACTAGATCTAGCTTTCTGACTAGACAATTCATTTGATTGAAGATTTTCTTTCTCTTCTTCATTCATGTGACTTCAGGTCATCAGGCCTCTGCTTCATAGCAGAGCACAGAGAGCACACAGATCTGAATGAATTGTCTAAGCAGTTGTACTGAGATGCCTCTTGCTGTGTTGCTTAGTGTCTGTATATTATTAAACATCTGTTGTGTCTTAGCTGTCATGGTCTTCACATGTTTCTTGAAGCTTAGTTTTCTATCTAGTCAGATTTCTAGATATCTTATGAAGCTTTTCACTGCATTTGCTGTAATAGAGTGAGTGTCAGATGTTGTTTCAAGATTAATTGAGAGGTTTAAAAGAATTCTGCATCATGTGAAGTGTGCTAACTCAGTTTTGACAAAATCAAATATTAGTCCTTCTTTGCTGACTCAATTATTTAGTATTTTGAAATTCTTCTGAAGAGTAACAACATTCTCTTCAAGAGTGATTTCAGCACTAAGCAGTTCTAGATCATCTGCATAGTCTGAGTATGCATATCTTCTTTGTATAGTTTCTAGAAAGAACAGAGACTGAATATATAGCATGAATAGAATAGATGAGACTGATGAGCCTTGTGGAAGTTCTGCTGAGATATCAAAGAGCTCTTTCAGAAGTTCATTCAATCTGATTCTGCCTGTGCATTCTGTCATGAAGCTTTTTATTCATCTAATTAAATTTGATGATCAGTCTTGTTCTTGCAATCTCTGCAGCATTCTTTCTCTGAGTACAGCATCAAAAGCAATCTTGATATTCAGAGTAAGAAGAGAGACTACTTTTTCATGAGCTCAGGCTTTCTCTATATCATGAATCATTACTGTTACTAGATCTGAGGCAGCTCACTCAGAAAGAGCTTCAAAATACTGAGGATGAACAATCTTCTCTTGTATGTCTGTTCAGGCTAGTCTATAGACTATCAGGCATTTCAGTCCCTTCCTCAACATTGAAAGAAGGACTATAAGTCTGTAGAATCACAGAAGTGTTGAATCTCTATTGATCTTAGACAGCACAACCAGTGTGACATCTTAAAAGAAGATTGAGTGTAAGTCAATTCTAAGATAGACACTGAACAGCCTTTTCACTGATATCTTAATATGTGATCATGTCTTTTGTAGCATCTCTGTTAGCACTTCATCAGTTTCTAAAGTGATATTACCTGTGTTCAGCAGAGAACTTTGTATCTCATGTGCTGAGACAACAGGAAATGATAATTTGACAGATGATGAATTGAATCAGCTAACTGAGATATTCTCTTTGCTTGTAGTTTTCTGTAAGAGCACCTGTTGCAGAAGATCTCTTTTCTCTCTAGAAGTTGTCTGTGTTAGCTCAGTCTCTTCATCTACAAAAGAGGAGAAATGAAAAGAGTCAGTTGAATGAACTCATTTGATCATCTTAAAGATATCTTTTTCTGCTGAGATCTCTGCTATCTTGTCTCACCAGTATTCTCTCTTAGCTTTTCTGATGATTCTGACTATGTTGCTTTTTGCTTCTTGTAAAAAACTAGAGTCTAGACACTGTGTCTAATATAGTGTTGTCACTGCTTTCTGACAGTTCTCATTTCATCATGACTGATTTGTGTCTTGCCTGATGCTCTTCTTGATGAAACTTTTCAGAGAAGCTATTAATACAT